TGAGGCAGGGCTGACGAGCTAGAACGGAGTAACTATTCCAAGAGAACAGGGGAGGAAAGCTTTATAAAAAATTAAGCTTTTTTTTTTTGTTTTCTCCTCCAAACAGGGAAGAGCATTTTTGCCTTTCCCTTCTCCAGGCATCTTTCCTCCCCCTCCTTCCCTCTGACCTGAACCTCCTCATTACCGACATGAGCCGCTCTGAGTCTCGTTAACCCATGCCCCTCGTTACACCGCTCCTCTTCCCGCAGCGCAGCCAGAGAAAAGGCAGTTCCACCCAGAGCGGCACGGCCAGCGTCCCTCCAGGCAAGTCCCCCCTTTCACTTCTGCTCCGCCTCGTCGGCCACTGCGGTCACCTCGATGGCGGTGGCGGCATGCTCGTCCCCGGCGGCCTCGGTGGCACCGGACGGGACGGTCACGACCGTGCTCCCACCGGGAGCCATTTGTGTCACGTTCTGGATGGTCGTACCGAGTCCCGGCAGCGTCAGCAGCTGGAAGGGGCTCACCACCTTCACGACCGTGCTGCCGTCCTGGACCGCGGCCGTGCTCAGCACCGTCAGGTTGGAAGCGTCCGGGTGGATCTCCACCGTACCGGGGAAGGTGGAGCCGGCGGAGGCCAGTACCGAGTACCCTCCCAGCAGTGGGGAAGCTGGGGAGCTGGCAGCAGGAGGCTGGGACGGGCTCTTCCCCAGCACCGAGGTCGGGAGGGCCGAGACCACTTTGCCGAGAGGGAGGTTGGCAAGCTGGGAGACGGGCACGCCAGGGGTGACGGCGAGCTGCGCCGGCTGGGACAGGACTTGGGAGGTGATGGCAGCTGGTCCGGAGGTGGCCCTGGTCAGCCTGGGACGTTTTAAAGGTGTGGGGACGGAGACGGGCGTGAGGGTCATCAGGACATTGTTGAGATGCTGCGATTTGTGCTTCAGCTCCTTCGCTCGCTTGCGGTGCTCGTCACACTGCTGCTCCAGAGCTGGGGAGAGAGGAGGGTCGGCTCAGCCTGGACCCGGGACAAGCTTCCCAGGGACCGCGGCAATGCCTGGAGCTGGTTTAGCATCCACCAGCTTTAACACAAACCCCGCTTTCTTACGCAGAAAGAAAACGAGCTGGCAGTGATGAGAAGTGCTGGAGCACCCACGTGTCCTGTGGGGCCATACCTGCCAAATCCCGCGTGTACTGCTCCCTCGAGCGATCCATCTGACACTTGTGGCTGGCCAGGACCTTCTTGACCAGATCCAGCATACCGAAGTTCTGGACGACGTTGTTGAGTAAAACAGCATCTTAAAAACAAGACACAGATCTTTGAGGAAAGCAAAATTCCCCAAGCAAGCTAGTCACGGCTTGGTAAAAAGCCATAGGACAGCAAACGTGTTCAGCTGAGACGGTCATAATCTGTGGAAGGGCAACACAAGAGGCTGGGGAAGAGGAGAAGACAGAAGTCATGAGAAAGTGCAAGAGGTCACTAGCGTATAAACAGTCCTCTCCTGCTTAGCAGGGATGACAAGAAATCTTCTGGCACAGTAGCTGGTTGCTGCATCGTTATTCCGATGGCCTAAATTCCACCTCAATTCCCAAGCCAAGCGTTTGTCCAGACCCAGAGCCAGCAGATAGGAAGGCCCTGGCCCAGGAAATCGGAGAACTGCGGCCACCTGAAGCGTCCTCGAGCACAGCAGAGCCGCCTGCCCGGGGAGCAGCCAGAGGTGGGATTTACTTATGATGAACTATGCCCCTATAGCGCCATCCAGATATCCCTAAGGAGGAAAAAAAAATCCACAAGCCCCTCTCCCGAGATGCCCCTGAGCGCCCGTGCCCAGGTCCTTACCACTGAGCTGCAGTGGGGGATCCTGTGCTCGCTGCTGCAAGCCCTTCATGGTCTCCACTAGCTCCTGGTGGAACTCGTGGATTACTTCTTCCAGGAGACCCGTATCCTTCAGGCCTCGCCAGAAAGCGAAGGTGTCATCTGGAGAAAGAGAAAGCAAGGGAGAACCTCAAAATCCTCGGAGGGGGGTTTTACTGGCGATCTGCTCTGGGTTCCCCTTCTGGCCCCTGCAAGGGTGAAGTCCTCCTAGGCTGTAGGTACGGGGTGCTGGGGCAAAGCCCAGCCGGAGCGTGTACCCAAAGGAGGGGCAGCTGGAAAAGGACACGTTTTCCCCGTCCGCTGTCACACAAACAGGACACCAGTGCTACAGAAAAGCCCCTTGCCCAGAGCACACGGCAGGAGCAAGAATGATTTTATGACCGCTCTGATTTTGTTTTTTCTTTTTTTCCTAGAGCCACACCAGGCATTTGGCCTACGCTTTGACATCTTAGTGCTCAGAAACAATTTCATCCCCAGACGATGGCGCGGTCAGACTCCACGCAGGCAGGATATAACGCAGCGCTACGCGCCGGTAAGTGGCAAACGAGTAAGCCCAGTGGAAGCTCAAGCAGGGCTGCTCTGGCAAGAAGGGTCCTG